AGGGCTGTAAAATTTACAGCCCTCTAATGACTGTAAGTGTAGGGCTGTAAAATTTACAGCCCTCTAATGACTGTAAGTGTAGTGCAACTCTTTATTTATTTCAATTTCATCAGTCAATTTTGTCTAATTTCGATAATACTAATAATTACACCTTTTTTTATATTGACAAATAATACTTATTATTAAAAAGGTTTTTTTAATAAATAATTAATACAGTATTATAGAGTGCAGTTATTGTTCTGTAATTTTTTCTCTATTTAAAACAAAATTGACTGTATAATTTTATTTTTTAAATAAAATTACTTATGAAAATTAAAATAAAAAGCCGAATGCAAGTGTGGATAGGATGATGTTTTCCCAAAATTCAAACGTATAAAAACCTTTGAAGGGTGAGACTGACACTCGGATAAAAAATAAAAATAAAGAGTTTTATTCAGTGTACATCGAGTCAAGTTTGACATCATAGAAAACATTGTGTGAATTGACTATTAATTTTAGAGAACTGTCACGTGTATACCATGCTCGTAAGTCGTAATTTTAACAACAATCCGTGGTCACATTTCCTGTGCACAGGGGATAAGAGCTCGTTATACTGATTTTAACGATTTTCTTTCAATCAATGGTGGTACGCATGTACACCTAGCTTAATTGAAAAAAATAATAAAAATAAAATAAAAAAAATCCCCCCATTGAAATCTATACAAGAAATAAAAAATAATAATATAGGGATTTCCGCTCCTAGACCTTAATCCTGTTAAAATCTCAGATCAAATCGTACCGATTTCGGAACGGATTGTAAAGTCAGGGTTTTGAAGATTGGATTTTTTGTTGGTGTTTGAGTGAGTGGTGCGAAAGATTTTTGTTTTTGTTTGTTTTGTTTTATTTTATGAGTGGAAAGGAGATGGCGGAGGACGTGGAGGTTGAGTATGAGAGTGACCCGGAGGAGGCGAAGCTTTCATTGAAGATGCGGAGGAGAGAGGCTAGTGATGATGAAGAGGAGGGAGAAGAGGGAGGGGAGCGGAGAGCGAAAGCGGTGCGGCCGATAGAATCGGATGGGGAATCAGATGGTCAAGGTGCGGCGGCGGAGTATGAGGAAGAGTATGAGGATGAGGAGTATGTAGAAGAGGAAGAAGAAGAGTATGAGGAGAGTGGCGGCGGAGAGGTTGAAGTGGTGGCTGTGGAAAAGATAGAAGAAGATAATGGAGGGCTTGAAGGACAGTTAAAGGAGGATAAAAGAAGGGTGAGGAATGATGTGAGTGAGATTAATGATGATAGCCATATTGATGATGGTAACCAGGAGGAGCAGAAGAAGGAGATCGAGCCATATGCAGTGCCCGTGGCGGGCACATTTTACATGCATGATGATAGGTTTCAGGACAATGCCGGTGGACTACACAGGTATTCACATGGGTTCAAAGTTCTTTAAATTGATGGTATATAAGATAGTGTTTGTTAAATTGATATTATAGGCTCTCATATGTTTAGGTGGGGTTTAGAGTTGTTATTGTTTGTTTGACTCAACTATAAAGAATGCTACGTAGTAAAAGGACATCTTAACCAATCCAACAGACTGGAACTATTGGGATTACATATGCAAAGGGCCTAAGAGGTTAACAGCTAAACAGAAACCTTTAATAAAACAAGTAAAAGGCTTAGAACTTAGAAGCCAAGCACAATTAGAATCGGAGAAGATGGGCTTGAAGGCACAAAATCAAAAGCAAAGCCCTTGGTCAAAAGATAAAACAACCAAATTCACATCATTGTACACTGACAAAGATATTCAAGAACAGACAATTTACCTTTGGTTTAATCCATATTCGTCTTGGGTTGTAAAAGCATGGTCTGCACACTCCTATATGCTCTTGTAATCTCCATTTTGGTGCTTTTAGTAGTATAACAGCCTTCTGGCCATCAAGGAAAGGATGGGATGTGTTTTGAATCATGGGGCAGCCCTGTCGTGTGTACTTGCCCTTTGGTGGTTTCGAGCTTATTTTCTCTAGGGTTCTGATATGCAATGCCATTCTAAGGTATAGTGATTTTATCTGTGGGGAAACATTAAGGCATAAAAGCTAAAATTCAGCTGTCCTTGATGAATCGGGTGAATTACATGCATATTTAATGTAAGTAGTGAAGTCTGAAGTAGGATGTTCTGCTATGATGCAAACCCCCATCTTGTAAGTCGATCTTTTAGAATTCTATCCGTGTAGCTTTTTGGGATGCATGTTCTTATCTATCCATGGTAATGCATTCTTATTGCTATTCAAGAAAATAAATATCATATTAATTTTGAAAATTGTTTGTAATTAGGCGAACTCTTGGTGGAAGAAAGTTATGGGAGTCTAAAAACAGGAGTAAATGGGGTCATGATAAGTTTGAAGAGCTGACTACACATGAATGGCATCATGAAGAGGTGAACAAGCCAATCAGTTGCTATGATTTATTACCAGATTTATACTTGTGGATATATTTTGCTGCACACTTTTAGTGATCTTATGGCTTGATAACAATGTGTATAATTTTTCCAGCGTAGGAAGACTTCCAGGGGTCGTTCTCGTGGTCGCGGAAGAAAGAGAGGATCAGATTGTGGATATGCCCGAGAAAATAGGCCCAGAGTTTACAATAATAATAATAATAATAACAACAATCAGAATAGTGATAAGAATCAGAACAATTCAGTGAAGGGTGTCCGGGGACGAGGACCTAGAAGGTATCGGCCATCTTTCAAGAACCACAATGAGGCTCCGCTCACACAAAACAAACAGTGAGTAGAATATCTGTTCCTATGCAATTTTTTTGGAACTATGTTCTTCAAATTATTTATCCCTGCTATGCATTATTTTAGATCTGTAAAATCAGTTGAAAAGCCTTCACGTGTTAATTCTGGGAGAACAAGTGCACCCACGCCAAATGTAGAATCTGATGCATTTCCTCCTAGGAAACAAATGTTTGCATCTAATTTGAGCATTGCCTCTCCTCCATTTTACCCCTCTGGTTCTTCCACGAAAGGTACTTCTTTGCCGCTGAAGAGTGATGTACAAGCTGGCACAACTAATCAAAATATTCAGCCATCTATTGCTGATAAGAGGTTTACTTTAGCTCAATCCTCTGCAAGGGTGCACGGAAAGAATGTAGTGGGCTCCATTGGCTTGGATACACTTTATATTGATTATTCGATTTCTGCAGTGGCTGAGAAGCCTTTGAACGCTCTGCAAATGCTGCCTTCTGGTTCACCATCATTTAATTCTACTCAACTGCAGCAGTCGAGGGGTCAAGGGAGAACAATGACTTCCTTAGCAAAAATGGCCTATAAACCAGTTTCTAATAATCAGGTAAACAGGGTTCCCCCAGCAACTCTGCTACAAACTGCTCAGAAGAATCCTGGTCAAGGTCGAGGTCTATCTTCTGTGCAAGCCTCTGATCAGCAGTCTTTGCAGCGTGCCACCAGTGGAAAACGAGCTTCTTCTCCCCCTAAAGCAGATGTGCCTGCGAATTCGTTTGAAACTGAAGAACTGAAATCTCTCTCAGACTCTAGTAAATCGAAGACTGCTTTGGTTGCTAAAGAGAAAGGAAGTGTTAAAGGCAGTGGAAGGGGCTCCTTTCTATATGGGGATGTTCAGGTTATGGGGGCCTCTGGGAATATGGGCAGTGGTCATGGTGATCAAAACTTTCCAGCTTTCTTGCCAGGTACAACTAGTTGTCAAAAATGGACGGGGGAAATTTTTAAGTTAATCTAGAACACAGTACTTAGAATTTATTCTTTCATTCAAATGGCTTTCTTTGGATAAACTTGTGTAAGAATTATCAATTTCAATTTTGGTACTGCACAATGTACTTCTTACAGAAATTGTGAAGCGTATAATACACTGATGTAATTGTAATTTCCATTAGGTTTGGATTTGTAATATGATCTAACCTTAGTTCACAATCGGATCAAACCTTTTTTTTTTTTTATCTAGAAAGGTATTTAGGGCGTGTTTGGTAGAGACTAAAATCAGATTAAAATTGAAAAAATAGCCGTTATTGTTGACTTTTATTAGACGAGTGAGACCCAATAACGGCTATATTTTCAATTTTAATTCGATTTTAAGCTTAGCCAAACATGCTTTTAGAGGGTTTTTGGGAATATTGCTTGTGTACTTTCCAAGTCATTTCTACAGGGTACTTTGAGAAATATTCTGGAAGTAGTGCTTTATGGTATACTTAATTCTCTGCTAATCCCATAAATTTAACTTCCTGCTTTCTATGGAAATATGAAGTATAAAGACAAAATTCGCCAAAAAAAAAAAGAAGAGTTTGTTTTTAACATTATGAAATTTGGTTCAAGCTGGGATTTCTCTGGAATATATCCGGATTGGAATTACAATTTAGGTCCATACTATACTTTTGTGTTCCTTTGCTTGATTGCTAGCTTCATGTGACTCCTGTTGTTTGGTGGAATGCAGTCATGCAATTTGGAGGCCAGCATCCTGGTGGTGGTATTGGAGTTCCTGCTGTTGGCATGGCCTTCCCTGGATATGTTGCTCAACCTCATCTAGGTTTAGGAAATTCTGAAATGACTTGGTAACTATTAAATTTCCTACACAGAAGTAGAGAACACCCCCACACCCGTTATCTATCTACTTCTGTCGAGCCTTTCTCTTACATATTTATTCACTGATTAGGTTGTCTCAACATGCACAAACTATTTTTTTTATTATTATGATTTGATTTTTGACTCTCATGAAGCCCCCAGATTGTGTTGTATATTTTAGCACACAGACTTGTAAATTACATTCTACTATTAACAGGTTTTAAATGATTTTCTTTTTTCTTTTTTGACATTCAGGTTACCAGTTTTTGCTGGTGCTGCGGGTACACTGGGGGCAAAGTATTCTACATATCTATCTGTAGATGGTTCATATCATACTCGCCCATCTGGACAGACGTCATCTGCAGTGTCCACTTCCAGGTGGATAGGATAGTTCTTGCTTGAATATCCATGGTCTTTTCCTCTCTGCTTGCATTACCTTTCTCTGGGGACTTCAGTCTCAAATTGGATAGTACTTATATTTACTTTTCCTTGTATTAGCTGTTGTGCTGTCTGGCTTTGTTCTCTTTAATGCCTGAAGCTTTGCTTTTACCCACTACTGTTTTTGGTGAATGGATTCGACATCCAAGTTTTATGGAACAAATAGTTAAACTTTGATTTTCTTTGCAGCAAAGAAACCAGTACTACTAAAGACAGTAATGACTGGAATCCAACACAGAAGCCTGGTAAGATATAATGAATTGTAATTTCTTGCACTTTTTCTCCCATTACGTGGCTGCCTATTTTTTTTTTTTCTGGCAGAGGTTGCAAATGATGACTTTGGGCAGAGGCAAAAGAATCCTCGCAGGCAAGTTGACATTCCTGTTCCATGCTGAAAAGTGATATCGGGATGTGGGGTCTCCCATCCCCCAGTACTTCTTTTCCAATGCAATATGAATTTTATTAACTTCAATATATGCAATGATTTTTCTAAATGCTCTGTGCAGATATACGGAGATGAAATTTGACCAGTGAAGCAAGTAGATGGGTCGAACCTCTTACAGTGCACAGATTAAGTCAAAAAGTTTTTACAATTAAAGTCTCTTCCATCTGTTGGGTGTTGTGGAGTTTCAGAGTTGTTCTTTTGGTGCTGCAAGCCGTCTGGGCCCTTTGTGTTCTCCTATTCTTAATTTGGAGCACTTTGGGCTGCCGCATATCTGGGATAATTTAGGTAATGGTTCTATCATTTGGCTTGGTTGTGAAGGTTGTGTGGGGGCGTTGTATACTTCCTTTTCATCACATTCCCCTTCAACTCGAGTGATTTCAGATTCTTCGTGTCTTCTGTTACTGCATCGTAAGGGAAGTTATGAACATCAACTGCAAAGCCTTTGGGGGAAAAGCAATTGATCATGTTTTATTCATGGGATGATAGAAATTTCAATTCTTGTAGTTGTAGCTACTATGTTTTACAAATAACTAGGCTTTGAATTCCATTTCTAGAAGTTTTTTTTTTTTAACATTTGAATGGAAATGAGATGCAACTCTTCTTGTCTCATCATCATAATTTCTGGAGCAGAAATATCTAAAATGGAACTTATTTTGGCTGAGGGTTGAAGAACAAGGGAAAAAAATTGAAAGTTGAAATGGTCTTCAAATTTACATAATTTTTACTTGCTTCAGCTTTTGCATGATTTGTCATAAAAACAGTGCATGTTTGGTACATTATACTTGGTGCTTCTTGGGAGTGCTTCAATTATAATTTAATCAGCAGGTCCCACATAATGTGTAGATAAAAAGTGGGTAAGAACTTGTGGGTCCATAGAATGTGAGGATAAAAAATGTGTTTGACCAGCTTAAATATTTTAGTGTTTGATTATTTTTAGTACTGTCTAGTCCCTCCTATGAAACGTTTAAACAGGAAATATGATAAATCTAAATGGTCTAGCTATTCCAGTTTTTTTTTGCATTCTCTAACTCTTCTGGTTTGCTGGTCAGGTATACGTGATTAATGCCTGATCATACTGCTTAATTAAAGATCACTGCAGCTTGATAGGTTGCATCTCCTAGTTCTTATATGTTGTAAGAGCATCAGAAAACTGGAGAATCTTTTTGCTCTTTCTCAGAACCTCAAGTGGAACAAATGGATGACCTTTTCTTCTCCGAAATGCAGGTTCTTGTACGTTGGTTATTTCAAGAAGCTTGTAGCAATGATGATCAGGTTTCTATGGAGATCAATAAAATGGAGATGACAAGAATTATTGTGCAGCAACCATCTGCTTTGTCAAATTAAGTTTTTAGTTTTTCCTCCTAAATCGTAGTAGCAATTTCTTGGGTTTTATTGGTCCGTATTCTCGTTTGACGTTTCTAGAGAACTTGCAATGTCTGAATCTCTTCCTTTTTATTTTTTGGCTTATTTGAGCTGACAAAATGAGCTTGCATATTTGTTTACAGAGCTGTGCAGTGTATTTGGGTTAAAAATGAAACTGCTATTTTCCCAGCATTTCTATTGGTATTTGGTAATTGACGTTGCGATTCTGTTCTTGTGAAGGAGATTTCCCGAAACACATAAATTTTTACGTATAGAATTGGGGGGGGCGCTGTTTGACTTGTGATGAATTGCACATGTAGTCCTAATGCCAACTTGAGTCTTGATACATTCAGTTCTGGCCCCAGTTATTACTTGAACAAAGCCATTTGTACAGAAATATATCTCGCAGAAGTTTTACACACACACTCATGGGTGGGACCCATGGTAGTAAAAAATTGCCCAAAAAATTACACCCTCCCCCTTATTGTGAGATATCAGTGGTGGGGGTTCTGTACCCTTATTACTCTGAAAGAAATGTTTTTCATCTTTAGAAACTTCAAAAAGACTATTCTAAGGTTCGATGTATTGAGTCTTAATAATTTTTTCTTAACTTTTCGACTAAATGTTCGGCAATCTAAAAGATACTTTAAAATTATAGTTCTAAAAAGCAAAATAAATGAAACATGTAGACAATAAGTAGTACGTTTGATCAAAACTTTGTCCGCTTAACCCTAGACGGAAATGAAATGTATGGCCTATGCCACACATGACTCGCGACTGATTGGCGTGCTGTTGAATATACGGCTATAAATTCTTAAGTACACTACACTGTAAAGAGGCTTAGGGCAATGTGATTCCCCTGTCTGAGTGTTCCATTTTCTAGTTGGAATTGATTGTCCTGGCGATTATTGTAGGAAAAAGTGGAGTTCGGCTAACATGATAGACATTTTATTCCAAAATTTGTGTGGGCCTGAGATGTTATTGCTATTTGTCCTTAATGGGCCATTCTTAAAATATCTGTACTAATGGACCACTTTGATCCACATAGCTTAGATCGTGTCCACAACTAGAATATCCAACTCCAATTAATTGTAGGACTGTTCTTCATTCTTATACTTTCTGAAGAGTTATGATTCAATCCAACAGCGCCACTGCAAAGTTGTCACATTCTGTGTGCGACTTGGTCGAGGTGAAGCCTATAACAGAGACTCATTGAGGCAAATGCCTCACACCTTGAATATACACTGCAGAATAGAGGTGATGAATCGCCTCGAAAGACATCGCAATGCATTAAAAATAAGCACACCAAAAATGGTAGTCTTTTAATTCAACCACAAGCCATCGCTATGCATGCACATTAATGACCCATTGAAATTACGTCTTATTCGCTGTTAATGAGTTGTGTTGGAAACCATTTAGAGCACAGCATGCATTCACGTGAATATGTGGCAAACAATAGATTTTTTCTCACTATTAATCCACAGTTTTGATTTGACTTATCTCACCCCACCCCACCCCACCCCAACCCAACCCTACCCTACCCTACCCTACCCCTGTGGACAAGGCTCCACAATATCCGAGTTTGTCAACAGAGTAAACACCTCCTCTTATAATTTGAGCAATGGATCATGAGTAAGTTTCTTTTTAATATTTAAATCTTGTCTTGAGCATGTATCTTTACGTTTAAATTGAGTTCATTTCTGTCTACAATTAATTCATGGAGGTGAGGATCTTTTGACATCGTATGTGAATGTTATCTGGATTTTTAAGTCTTTCTCGTTTATCTTCATGTAGAATTAATTAGTTGACGAAATTTATGATTAAAAAGTTACGAATCTCAAAAAATGTGTTATTAAATTAATTGTTAACTTTAACTTGAAATATCCTTAAAGTCGATACAAATAAATATTTGTCTATCGATGATCAACCAAAGACTACGAGCAAGAGATAACTTTGCTACGTATGGCATATACATTTATACAATTACACGGGTGTGTGCATGCACTTAATTATTATACTTTCTGAAGAGTTATGATTCAATCCAACAGCGCCACTGCAAAGTTGTCACATTCTGTGTGCGACTTGGTCGAGGTGAAGCCTATAACAGAGACTCATTGAGGCAAATGCCTTTCACCTTGAATATACACTGCAGAAGAGAGGTGATGCATCGCCTCGAAAGACAATGTAAAAGAAGCCATGTGAAGGGGAGTGCTAACCTAAGATGACCTTTTACTTAGAAATTGTGCGACTCACTTTAAATATTCATTTTTAACCACATTTTCAAACAATAAAATATTCTACATTTAAACTCAGAACTTTTTTATACTTATTAACTACACATTCTCTAAAAAATTACTATTCAAAATATTATTTTCTTTCAATTGCTCTTGCTAATTACAATCAAACAAGGCTTGATTGTCATGTGACCTTTCTCATAGAGAGGCGTAACAGATAATATTATTGCGATCTTTCAATATCTTTAACATGTATAAATGGGCATTCGAACTTTAATTTTAAGCGTGTAGCTTTTAAAAGAGTAGATGTAAGTATGTAACTCTCTCGTTGATAATGAACCTGTTGGGAGTAAAAGAAGTCCCACATCGGCTAGACATGAGAAATATGATATATTTATAAGTGTAGGACAATACTCCATTGATATGAGGTCTTTTGGGTAGTATCCAAAAGCAAATTCGTGAGGGCCAAAGCGAACAATATCATATTAATATGGAGTTTTGCTTGTCCTAACAATTGGTATCATAGCCCAGAGCCTGATAACTTAGTCAGAGGAACGCAGTAGAAAGCGTGATGGAGGTTCCCCCCTAATTAGCCTTGCGTCAGCTGTAAATCATCAGCGTTTGAGGTGCCTTCTGTCGAAAATTTTCCTAACATAAAAATATGGTGGTCAAGCGGCGGGTTGCATTTGGTCGAGGGGCGACGACAATAATGGCGGTACAAGATGATTAACTGATGGATTATCGTTTGAGGGGAGCCCACCATGATGTGGTCCTTCATTTGAGGGGATGATAGTTGGGAGTAAAAGAAGTCTCACATCGGCTAGACATGAGAAATATGACGTGTTTATAAGTGTAGGACAATACTCCATTGGTATGAGGCCTTTTGGATACTATCCAAAAGCAAATTCGTGACAGCCCGATCCAAAGCAAACAATATCATATCAATGTGGAGTTTGACGAGTCCTAACAGAACCACTTAAATGCTATATACATTAAAAATAAGCACACCAAAAATTGTAGTCTTTTAATTCAACCACAAGCCATCGCTATGCATGCACATTAATGACCCATTGAAATTACGTCTTATTCGCTGTTAATGAGTTGTGTTGGAAACCATTTAGAGCACAGCATGCATTCACGTGAATATGTGGGCAAACAATAGATTTTTTCTCACTATTAATCCACAGTTTTGATTTGACTTATCTCGCCCCACTCCACTCCACCCCACCCCTACCCTACCCTACCCCTGTGGACAAGGCTCCACAATATCCGAATATGTCAACAGAGTAAACCACCTACTCTTAAAACTTGAGCAATGGATCCT